AAACACGATGCCAGACATATACACATTATATATAGACATATATTTAAGGTAAACTAATCAATTTAAAAGGTGTATTTACTATTAACTCATGACAAACGGTCTGGTTCATGCGCGCAAAGTGAAAGCTCTACAGTACATTACTGTGGTCTTACTAGTGAGTTAAGAATGGGGGAAGGGAAAAGGAAGGGAAAGAGAAGGGAAAGGAAGGAAAGGGAAGGAAAGGGGAGCAGAAAGAAAGAGGGGGAAGGTAGAGAGGAAAGGAGGAAAGGATAGGAAAGGGGTAAGGAGGAATGACTTGAAAGGGAAAGGGAAGGGAGGGGGGAGAAGTGAAGGTGAAGGGAGGGTGAAAGGGAAGGGAAAGATAGGGAGAATGAAAGGGACGATTATGCGAAAGGGAAAAGGGAAGGGAAAGGAAGGGGAAGGGGAAAGGAGGAGCGTCCTATGAACCAGACACGTGACTAGATAGCTGACAGAGTAAAGTGGTTCATATGTACTGCCACTCGTGTAGTTTTCGAAAAAAGGTAGTTAGGAAAAGCCTCGAAACAGAAACTGCATTCCTTTTGTAATAACAAAGGAACCGGCTGTGTAATTGGGTAAGGGGGGGAGGGGATGAAGGGAGATGGGGTACTTAGTGATAATCTCTTTTTTTAAGGGAACACTTACTTTCTCTCTTTGTTTGTTTGTTTCTTCCTTCTTGTTTAGTTACCTCTTTCAGATGTTTGCATTAGCTTCCAATCACAAAACCGATCCAGTATTAACATATCATTTCCGACAATCTCGAACATTCGACTCTGCCTATATTACATTTGATGAATTCCTGGACCAAAGGGGACAGACGCAAATCAGAATATCTCTACTAAAACAGACATATCAAAAAAAAAAAAAAAAAAAGATATATATATATATATATATATATATATATATATATATATATATATATATATATATATATATCGATAACCAATCTTTTCACAGTTTTATATCAATCGAAATCATGTGATGAATACACCAAGCAAGGTTAAGTGTATTATGCCTCTCACCTGTATAAAGTCGGCCAGTGTAAATTTGTCCCTTGCTGTCGCCGCTCTCTCGCTGTGCGTGTGAGGCGAGTTTCCTTCAGAACATTGGTCACCTTGACATGTAATGTAGATGTTCACCTCACTGTAACTCTCACAAATAAAAATGTATGTAATATGGAAATCACTGTTAGTGTGGGTGTCTCACCGTACAGTGTGTTAGAAGAAACACTTTGTGCACAAAGACGATGTGTATACCAATGTATGTTTCTATCAGCAGCCATATAGTTAGCCAAAGATGTGTGTTGCGTGAACGTCCAATCATGTAGACAATTGGAACGTATATTTTTCACTGTATCTTGGGTCAGGAATGTGAAAAGCGAGGGTAGTTCTTCGCTGTAGGACCCGAGTTGTGTGTTAGATAGATGTTTCTCACGGTAGATCGATCCTCAGTGTGTTTCCCTTGGGCCTTAGGGGCTCTGAGTGGAAGTCCCCTTGTGCGAGTAGGCGCTGTAATTGTCACATGAGAGGGTAAATTTACAGGGGTTTTCAGTGTCACCAAAAAACGTGCTCTCATGACTCCATTTTGTTTCTTGATCGTGCTTTCCCGATTACCTAATTTAAGAGTAAAAAGCCACTGACTTTTTTATGGAATTACAGCCTTATGGAGTGATATTTCGTAGGTAAGACCCAATCTGTGAAATGTACTTTAAAAGTAGTTTTTAGAATTAATCATTAAGGTGAAAATCTCTGAAACTGTTTCCTACAACTATCTTCGCTTGGTTATCTACACATAAACTGATACACTCAATTTTCATGTGAAACATATACTGGATTTTCTGTTGTCACAACCAGTATATTACATATGATAACAATAATCATGTCGATTTGAAATTTTGATAGTCAGAGAAACATTAATTTACCATTGACCAATTCAACTTAACGATTGTCTGAAGCGTGTATGTGAATAATCCTTATTTAATTTCCAAATCATAACCTTCTACTTCAAATATTACTTATTCTTTCCAAGATTAGAGTTTCCCCTAATGTTCCCATTTTCTCTGAATTGAGATCGTAACTATAGAAAACGAAACTTCTCACCTAAGCTCAGATAAACGACAATAAAATCAGCTTCTTTACTGTATATTTTTTCTTTGTTATTCTAAAATACGTCATTGATAGAACGGATGGATATTGTCTTAGTAATTAGAATAAAACGTTGCAACAGCCTAGTTAAAGATCGTAAAATACTGCGTGTGTGAATGTCCCTCGGTGCGTGAATATATATACGTACATATATATATATATATATATATATATATATATATATATATATATATATATATATATATATATATATATATATATATATATATATGCATATATATATATATATATATATATATATATATATATATATATATATATGTATATATATATATATGTATATATATATATATATATATGTATATATATATATATATATATATATATATATATATATATATATATATATATATATATATGTATATATATATCTATATATATATATGTCTATATATATATATATATATATATATATATATATATATATATATATATATATATATGTCTATATATGTCTATATATATATATATATATATATATATATATATATATATATATATATATATATATATATATATATATATATATGTATATATATGTCTCTCTCTCTCTCTCTCTCTCTCTCTCTCTCTCTCTCTCTCTCTCTCTCTCTCTCTCTCTCTCTCTCTCTCTCTCTCTCTCTCTATATATATATATATATATATGTGTGTGTGTGTGTGTGTGTGTGTGTGTGTGTACGTGTGTGTATATATATATGCATATAAATGCATATATATATATATCTATATATCTATATATATCTATATCTATATCTATATCTATATCTATATATATATATATATATATATATATATATATATATATATATATACATATATATATATATATATATATATATATATATATATATATATATACATACATATATATGTATATATATATATATATATATATATATATATATATATATATATATATATATACATATATGTATATATATATATATATATATATATATATATATATATATATATATATATATATATAAATATACATATATATATATATATATATATATATATATATATATATATATATATATATATATATATATATATATATATGTATATATATATATATATATATATATATATATATATATATATATATATATAAATATACATTTATATATATATATATATATATATATATATATATATATATATATATATATATATATGCATATATATGTGTATATATGTATGTATATACATATATATGCATATACACACACACACACACACACACACACACACACATATATATATATATATATATATATATATATATATATATATATATATATATATATATGCGTGTGTGTGTGTGTGTGTGTGTGTGTGTGTGTGTGTGTGTGTGTGTGTGTGTGTGTGTGTGTGTGTGTGTGTGTGTGTGTGTGTGTGTGTGTGTGTGTGTGTGTGTCTGTGCGCTCGCGCATGTGTGTGTAGACATTTTTTTAAATTGTATTACAGTTAATTGTTTTTGTTCATGCTATTATTATTACTGTTATAATTATTAGTTAAAAAATGTTCCTGGAGTATGTTCCTTTCTTGGCTGTCTTTGTGATTGTTATGTTACATTCATCATTACAATTTTCTTGTTTATCACTTATCATATTTATTTTTCGTGGCTCAGTTCTGAGCATTGCCTTGCTGTTCCTGTATACTCCACATTTCGACGAAAACAACAACATTTTAGCGCGATCAGTTGAATTCGACAGCACACAAGAGCACAAATCATTCTCTGCATATTCATAGCTGGGCTGTTGTAACATTTAAAAAATAGTAAGTAAGTAAATAAGATGAAAAAGGACGCGAACATTTTTTTTCCAGACGAAACGACATCTGATTTTGAGGGACAAGTCGTTCCTTAAGCACTTTGAGTGTTCCACGACTTTTTACCTTTGGAAAACATGTGATAGGACGCTGTGTTAAAAAGCCTTTGCTAGATGTTAAGTATTCGCAGTAGTCTACCTTGCCTTGCAGAATTATTAGCCTATGTGATATAACCTTGTGTAAGACTGCGGTCCGGTGGTCTTCGTAACTCTTATTCCTGCCTCTTATGACAATAAAAATGTATGGAAGATTCTTTATTTTATTATGGTGACGGGTCGGATCCTCGGAGGGATATGTGTTAATGTGTATGTACATTTATGAACGATAAAACACTATACTGTGATGCAATAACAGAAAATAACACTATACACAGACTTTATTGAAAGATGAGACAACCTGTTTCGTTTTCCTTCTGTAACAGTCAATATTTTGGTGATAAGGGGGTCAGGTTCATGGAGCACAAATACACTCTATCCTGGGAACACATAAATAATATCCTCTTCTGCCGTCACCTGGACCAGGTGATAAGTGTCTTTCCTTTAAACTATGTCCACGGCAATGGTAATAGTAGTAAAAGAAATGATAATAATGATAACAATAGCAACGATAAT